CTTTCCATTTCTCCTTCGGTAGTTCCATAGGAGTTGGGAGATTCTAGTCACATTGCATCTTCGATAGGTTGCTTCTGGGGACGACTTCATTTTCATTTTTCCTTCTTTTCGTCCTTCCTTTTTTCCAGAGCTCGCTGCGAGAATCTTTCTGATTGAAGTAGTGCGGAATAGATTGCGTCCAGAAGCGCTAATCGTTGTATGAGTCGTAATATAATAGACTATCCTTTACTGTGATGGCCGTCTTGAGAAAGAGACTGTTGAACAGGGCGAACTCTCCAGCGCTAGCCTCGGGGCACATGGTGGTGAAGAGACGCCGTCGATACGTCCAGGCTACATCTAACTCCTCCGCTTGTTCGTATTCCTCTTGAAATTCTTGCCATGTCGTTCCTAAATCAATCCTTAGATCAAGCGGACTTGGATTTAGATGAACATTGGCAAGGAAGCGGAAGTTTTCCAAGTGAAAGCTTCCTTCTTGCGTGATGCTGGAGTCTGGAGAAAAGGTGCATTACAGTAAATGGCGCAACTAGTATTAATTTTCGAGTGTTCGTTTATGTTATGTACAACAATGTGCAGGAATTCTTGTCGCCGGTCGTGGATTAGTGGTGCTTGTTGTGTACCTTATGCACCTTATGCACGACCTTAAGACATGGTGCTATCTGATTCTTATGAAGGAAAGTTTGACTATGTTACTGATTGCTTTAATAGTAGTGTAAAGGATCAGCCGCAACATTCTAGCGTCGCACGTAACTAGAAAACGATATGTTAGGCAAACAGTGATCGCTAATCTTACCTAGCTGCTGCCAAGGTTTTATACCACTGCAAAAATACTGTCACAACATGTCCTAGATCAGGCCAGGACCTTTCTGAATCGAATATTGATTCTTCCTTTAACAATTGTTCTATCGTTTACTATAATTTCTTGGACGGAGACTAATTTCTTGGACGGAGACTGTGAATTTCAAAGTTTTTGTAATGGTAGGTTGTCGCAGGAGTTGGATGTGCACAAAAAGTCTTCGCTTGATTGGGGGATCTGCACTGATGGCGCGTGCAGTATTCTGATGTGAATGTCGCTAACGAAGGAAGTGGCGTGGTTGTTCTGCTGCCATGTATATCGAAGCAGTAGAAAACGTCGTGAGGTAAGATATAAGCGGATTGAATATGAAGCGCCGGAATGGTGATGAGTGCTTCATTGTGGACTAAAGTTATGAGAAGCTCCGAGTCTTTGTTCGGAGGAACAAATGTAGATGGTTAGAAGGAGCAGGCATGGTGTGGCAGGAATATGACGATTGAAACTGGTATGGATGAGTATCTTGATGTCCCCTTCAATAACCCATCGTAGGGACTGCACGTTGTTGTCCACTCGAGACAGCTGCATTTATCATCACAGAATGCGGAGTTGGGTTGAAGAGGCAGTGGTTGTTTGCTCGCCAAAATTTCCTTCTTGACGAACATGGTGAGTTCTGAATCGATTACAGGATTGATCATCAATCCGATAGTACCAGAATGATGTCCTATGATCATGTAGCCGGCTCATGCCAGGAAACGGCATTGCTAATCCACTAAAATCCTGACCACTCTCTATGACAGCATCGGCTGTCATTATGCCTGTCAGATTTCTCTAAACATGCATCCACAAAAAGGATGTTGCTTGATGCCGGCTGCCAGCCAGACTGATCATGTTGTCTGGATCAAACAGTTGGCAAAATCTGAATGCCCATGAGATTGATGGGTCCCTCACCGCTGGTTCCTCGTCCATCTCAATATTCTTTCTTTTGAAAGGAGAGCCTTGAGAGGAAATCTAATTGTGAGAAGGTAGTGCATCCGCGCAATGTTGTCACAGTTCGACAGGTAAGCTAGGTTCTCAACTGGTATGCCGAATTGTATGTCACACTTAGACCCAACGCAGGCAATACCATTCCGAAAAAGGCCAACCGTATTTCCAACATTGCTTTGTGTTGGACATAGCACTCCGGCTTTGGCTGTTTCTTGTCCAGAGCTTCTAGAATAGACTGTAATGCTGTAGCCGGTGTGACACCATTATTGACCATAGAATTTTGTATAGCTGCTATTGATTTTCCGTCGAGTTTTATTGTTGAATTGGGATCTGCAGTTAAACTATATTTTACAGGTAGGGCAGCAAAACTCTTCCCACAATTGATCACATGGGTTGTAGGTTTAGCTACCAACCGGTCGAGCATATACGAAGTCGCAACTCCCATGCCCAACAATTGATCATACATATGCAGTATTTCTATCTCATTAATGATCTTGGCTTCATTCGAACTGATTCGTGCGGATTGCGAAGGGAAATTCAGCCGTTGCGGAGAGATATGTAAAAGTTGTTTTCTCGACAGCATCCTCGATACAAGAACCTGCATCTGGCTGCCGTTGAGGGTTAGGTAGAGTCAAAGTTGATGTGTATGTGAAAAAGTCTGTCAATTGCGTGTAATTGCAGGACTTGAGAGCTCTAAAAAATATTGTTTTGATTTTTGTACTGTATTGTATTGATTGTATTCTGACACCAAGTGTGTTTTACACCCCGATGCCAAGAATGTTTACCCCATGACGTATTCGTTTCTTCTATACCCGATGACGTTCAGAGTCACAACTAGGACCGGCACTTCCATCCATTAAATAGTATAGGGCGCCCATGGATTGCGGCGATAGGCAAGATAGTGGAGGTGAATTGGTATCGTTGCTGTTTTGCTTCCGGCCATGATTTCGGGAATGATTTTGACTTTGCATGGGAGTCATTTAGAGTCATCCCGTCAAAATCTACTTCTAAGGAAGTGGCAACGGTTGTTCCTGCAACTGGCGTTCATGTATCCCCCGAAAGAGCTTCCTCTCGGACAATCCCTTTCTTCTTGTTTCATTGAACCGCAACGCATCTGCAGGATGTTTTTGATCTCCTCCTTTCTCCATCTCCAAGATATTTTTGATCTTCTCCGGTGGTTCAGTGGTAGAATGCTCGCCTGCCAGGCGAGCGGCTCGGGCTCGATCCCCGGCCGTTGCACCACACATACTGTTTTGTGGATTGCTCGGCACCAAACANACCGGCGTTCACTGTATCCCCCGAAAGAGCTTCCTCTCGGACAATCCCTTTCTTCTTGTTTCATTGAACCGCAACGCATCTGCAGGATGTTTTTGATCTCCTCCTTTCTCCATCTTCAAAATATTTTTGTTCTTCTCCGGTGGTTCAGTGGTAGAATGCTCGCCTGCCACGCGAGCGGCTCGGGCTCGATCCCCGGCCGTTGCACCACACATACTGTTTTGTGGATTGCTCGGCACCAAACATAGTAAAACTCTTGCTGAGTTGCCACACGGAAATGCAACTCTTTCTGGGTAGAGGCAGTTACCTAGATATTCATTTCTCAAAGTTTTACCATTATAAATCAATAAAAACAGGTTACGTGTCCTGATGCGAGAATATTGTCCTCAGATATTGTCATGTTAAGCCGTTGGTAAGTGCCAGAAGCGTTGTGGGACGAGGTAAAGAATTAGTGCAGAAGCCTGATGAAGAGGTGGCGCTGAAGCCTGGCGAAGAGACATTATGTTATGGTAAGTGCCTTCTTTTCAAGTGCTGATTGCTAAATGTTGAAGAGTCGGCTTGTGAGTCACCGCAATGGACGATTTCTCTGTCATCGATCACAGTAGCATTTGCTACACTCCGACACTCGGCTCCCCATTTAGTCATTGGCTAGGATGGCAGAGGCAGCATAATGATTGATTGCTTGATTGCATTGAGATGCCCCATAATCTAACATTCTTAGAAATTCGCACTTGTAACTGAATGTGTACCTCTCCTATATGCAACTGTTTCCAATAAACCAGATCATTTTACAGGAGGAGACGGTTGGTTTTTACCATGGTCCAGTCATGATTTCAAATTCCATTTTATAAACTTATGGTCGTATTCCTATTGAATCTGTATCATTTCCACCATACACATTTCTGTGAGTCGTGATACACCATCTTTCCATAGTAACTGATTACAGCACCTTGAACTGATAGCAGGTACTGTCTCTCGACCTTGGCGGCCCCCACAGTGAATACCGAAGAAGTTCCTTCGCACCTCGACAATAGCCAGCCCACTAATAGTACGGCAGTTATAAACTGCTTCACAAACCACACATTCTAATGCAGCCGCTCTCATCTTATGGAGGAGCTTGAAAATGATGCAAATAATCGATGTTGTAAGGTTTCTGCTGCAAACACGAGAATACTCACAAACACGTTAATAATTCTGTGTTACCGCGGTAGTCGTCACTAAAAACTTACACTTCTTTTTGAAATTGTGAGATAAACGTGTATGATAGTTCACGCATTCATTGTACAACAGATTCATGAAATTGTTAAATGCGTATATAAGAAAGGTCAAGAGTAGGAAACGTGGACTGCTCATAATGGCAGGTACATGGTATAGGTACAAATATGTTTGTATCTTCGAATGGTGTACCTTGATCATGCACTAGCCGCCTTATAGAAAGACGGAACATCATCTCACAGAAATATGTAACGATTCCCCCTCTCGTATTGTTGCAATCGACTTTGTTTATTTTGTCATATTCTACAAAAGTTTTAGACTTAACATCACCTTCTCTGATGCTCCTATCTCCCACCTCCTAGTCTTTGACTCTTCCGAGGAAGAGTCTCAAAAAGGGCACATAACATTTACAATGTGAAGCTTGGTGGCCAGCGCTTTCACGCTGCGGATGACAACACATTAGAGAGCATTTTCACCATCAAAAACCGATGGGGATCCAGACCGACTTGGTGGAATTTCGTTTTTCGTTTCAGTTACATGAAATCTTCATTTTTTTATTTTGACAGGTGGTGAACATCTGTTATTCAACACAGTCTACAAAGTTGTCCGCAGTACTGCATTTTCTGACTTCTGGTATAGAAGGTGCTGTTGCAGAAGCCGTTGTTTACCCAATGCTGACAACTGAAATCTTAGAACAATTATGGAATCTTTGCAAAACCAAAAATCATCACGCCGGACGGAAACAATCAAATCTCCATTGTTTAAAACTGGAAAACACGAACTCACTTGGCATTCGTTCCGCAAGTCGTCTGACCTGAATCGACAAAAATTGAAGATTGATAACTTTCATTTGTTCATTTGTTGGTAGAGTGCTGCTCGAACGCTGGTTGAAGATAAAATGTGATTTTAAAGAAACCAGCGTGTCTGATTTTTGATAGTCTTGGGAGTTAAAGGCGTGGAAGAGAGGGAGGGGGGTTGGGGGAGAGAGTATCTTAATCTCATGAACTGGCTCGATGGCTTGATCAACGTCGAGGAATTTGTTTTTTGTCTTTTTTCTGCCTTTTTTGAAGACGTTTGGTGTATGAATAAACCAACGAAAACATTTCCTAGAGAGGAACCCCTTCATAGAAATTCTCCGCTTTTACTCGTTCCCAAAAGGGTCCGAATCCGAAGTTCATGAAGTGAGAAGTACACAATGGGTTGAGTTAACTTCAAGATGTACATAAAGCAGGGCAGCTATGACATCTTGATGGGGCCTATTAGCGATTGTCCATCCGACAACGTTTCTGCGCTATACTTATTAGAAACAAGTTCATCGTGAGATGAAGTATCAAAAAGCATTTTAACGTGAATTATGCCTTAAAATTCTAACATATGGCCACCCAGATGAGATGAGGTGGGTCATTGCAGTCCTTCTCTTACTGCTCTACTTAACGCTGACGTGACTAACAATAAGTGCTCTAGTCCTCGCCCTTACAGTGGTCGCGGAATACTGGCTCAGTACTCTTGCACAAAGTGATTAAGGTATTCTTACTAGTACTATGATCTGCAAAAAGCTAGCAGCCAGTTGCTGTGAACGGGCGACGTAGATAATAGATAATAGATAGATACATCTTGATTTGCACTAGAGTCTTTCGTGCCATAATCAAACTCAGGAAGCCGAGATTCTCTTGGTAGCCGATTTCCTGTCAGATTAAGATTCTGAGCCATTTCCGGAATCATGCCTTGGTCAATCTTTGGAATCGATCTCAACGAGATTCCTGTGTCCAACATGAATTTATGAGGGCCCAACTCACAGATTCAAGGGATGTTCTGGACTGTTGAAACATTCTTTCAATTCACCATTCAAACGGAATGTAGATGACACAAAATCATTGGTGACATAGTCGCTGATTATTTGAAGTAATTTATAACTGGAAACTGTAACCCACGCTTCACTAGTGCTCGAGGATGAAAGGGCTCATTGATGACTGGACCAATGTCTGCATTCGGTTGCTCCAAGTGGGAAGGCTCTGTAAAGACAAGGTAAATTTGACTCGCATTTTGCTCACTGCTGCTATGTCACCGCAGTACGCGATCCCAAAATCTCCCAAGATTGTCGAATTGAAAATAACTTACAGCCTTGGATGGGACTCTAACCCGTGCTTGTGCTATCCGCTCAGTGTGCTCTCATACACTGCACCTTCATACACTAGCTGTATCAGCATAAAGCATTGTCATTCGGCACAACAACAACAAATAAATAGGACTATATGCTTTGCGCACAATCAGTCATGATAATATGAAACATTTTCGCTCTTTTTAGGTTTGTGACTGCTTTCCCAACTCCACCACTGCGGTCGACTCTGCTTATTTTGCCATATACTACGAAGGTGTGGGTTTACATCACTTTCACCAGGGTTTATCTCAACCCAAACCATGGTTGGGAAGGATCATGGCATTTTTGCCGCTTTAATAAATGTCGACCCCCATCGTCTTTGCTAGCTCTCTACTAGAAAAAACAGAACCTATTGTAAAACATGTTTTCCGATTCAAAAACACATTTTCATCTGAAGTTCCGCAAAAGCGGTGCTCAGTACAAGTTCATAGAAACGTTCACCTTACAGACAAAGCTAGAAGTTTGATAGTTTTTGAAAAGTCCGAAGGTTTTCAACCTTCAATACCCACCTGCTGATGCCGACATGACTAAGAGAGAAGACAGCATGATCACGATGACAAGCATAGTGCCTAAATAACATTGATCATCTTGAATATTTTTGAACATCCCCTAGGACTTGTTTGTGTGATCTGATGTTTCAGCGATCGATTCTTTTGGTGTTGATGTCGCTTGTCACTAAACATATATCTACGTTCTTTTGTTAACTACGGCATGGAGATCTCCTAAATCCATAGGAACAACCGACTACCCTCCTAATCGTAAGATCCATTCCACTCGTTGTAATCGCGGCAAGGAAT